GAGACCCTAAGGATACGTGAGATAAAAAGAGTCCATATCCCATCTAAGGGAGAACATAGTTGAGCCCACCTAATAGATTTTATGAACATGGCAGACTGTTTGGTTTGAAGTTACATTTTAATTTCTTGTAGACTTTGATCAGTTAAATCTTGGTTTTTAGCCATGATGGACAAAAGCTATTATCTTATTTATTAGTGGTGATTTAGTGGGTTAATAAAACTGATATGGCAGCTGCTCTTATCATAGCAAGTTATTGCAAGTCCCTGAACAGCCTAATCCCATCATTTCCTTATCAGTTATCATTTGTGTAGAGTAAACTAAATCAGGGCTAGTAGCTCAGTGGAACATATGTTTCAGGAATTCTGTATAATGGCTGAGATGGAAAAGAAGAAATATAGGTATAGATATAAATTGATCAGCAAATGAAGAAAAGTATTAGACACAATGTAAATATTTTAGTTGTAAAAAAGAGCAGCAATAATTTAATTTGTCCTATTAAAAATCTCACATTTTATAACATGGTCACTTTAAAATGTTGACACACCTTAATTATTCTTCTTTATTCCAAAATTGTAAATGATATCTGTCACTTGGCATAGACTAAGGACAGTTGATGCTGGTGAATGAACACAATTTTGTTAGATAATCACAAAGGCTACTTTCATGAGGGAAATATTTTCTTAGAGAAATTAGTTACTCACATCCAGGATTTTTGAGTATTTATCATACATCTCATTTAACAAAGATAGGTGAATAATGAAATAGGAAGAGAAAACTGTGAAGTGTTTGAGAATCTTTGTTCAGGTTAACCTGCAGTGTAAGCATTAGGTAATGCCATATAATTGAGACCACTGGTCACCCCATAGTAAGGCAAACTGCAATTTTTATTCAACATGCACCAGTATATATTCTTATGATGCCATATTATTTTTGGAAAATATTTCCTAGAAAGGCTGTAGGGAATATATTAGCAATGAAATACTGTGAGATAAAAAATAAATGTATATATGGCATGAAATTACTCTCCCCAGTTTTATGAGGTTTATCTTTAGCTGTTAGGCAGACAGAGAGCTGCTCATTTATTATCCCTCCTCTGTTCCCAAAGACACTAACTCATCACTCAGATGATAGCATGCATGTAGTTAGACTAACAGAAAGATTAAAGGGGAAAGATGAATTCATTGGTTTCAAAGGATACTGGATCTGAAATATACTAACTTAGGACAATGGTTATAACAAATAATTACATTTGTATTCCTAGCAACAGTCTATCTACCTAAAAACACTGACTTCATGCCTTTTATTCACATTGTTTATGTGTATGTGAAACTTTGTTCCACTCTGAACTTTTATTTGTAACCTGGAAATGCACAGGGCCAGGAGGTAGTTACTGAAAACAATTGGCTTTAAAAAGATTTATGTTTTATCAGTTTCTGAATTTCTAGTAACACACTGGCTCTTCCAATAAATGCTTGAGGATTTTTCTTTACAGTAATTTTAAGGGATAATATAATGAAGAAAAAAAAATCTTCCATTAAATCTTACTGTTTATCAGGAGAGACAAGCTAGGTGCGTACGTTCCAGTGATACAAGGGATAAAGCTACTAAGATAAATGACCAAGACAAGAGCTAAGGGACAGAGAGATTAGTTTTTCCAGAGAGATCAGGCAAAATGTCATTAAAGTTATGCTTTGAGGGGTAGGCAACAAAGTAGGACACAAAAGAACAAGGACATTTTCCAATAGAGAGTTCAACAGGATAAAAAAGGTGAGAAAGCACAAGTTATTTATGGAGAGTGAGTAATCCTAATAGTAGTTTTAGTAGGATGAGATTTTTTTTGTATCGTGTTAGGTAACAGATACTTTAGCCTTTATCACATTTAAAATTGTGCTGCTACATTTAAGTATATGAAAACTGCATATAAGGCTCATTGCCCAGTCTGTGCCATCAGTTGTTGCTATGTTTGAGGCCAGTCTTGCAGCCACTGTGTCAGTCCCTCTTGCTGAGGGTCATCTTCTTTTTCACTGACCTTCTACTATACCAAGCGTTATGTCCTTCTCTAGGGACTAGTCCCTCCTGATAACAATCCAAAGTACCTGAGACAAAGTCTGGCCATTCTTGCTTCTAAGGGTCATTCTGGCTATACTTCCTCCAATACAGATTTGTTTGTTCTTCTGGCAGTCCCTGCTGTATTCAGTATTTTTCACCAGCATCACAATTCAAATGCATAAATTCTTGTATGGCTTTCCTTATTCATTGTCCAGCTTTCTCATGCAAATGAGGCAATTGAAAATACCATAGTTTGAGTCAGGCACACCTTACTCTTCAAACTGACACCTTTGCTTTTAATGTACCACATCTGGCCAGTGCAGTACATCATTTGATTCCTTGACTGCTGCTTCCATAGACGTTGATTGTGGATCCAAGTAAAATGAAATCCTTGACAATGTCAATATTTTCTCTGTTTATAACCATCAATATGGATGGTTTCCTATTCTTTTATATATTGTCATTGTTGTTGTTGTTATTTGCCGTCGAGTTGGACCCAACTCATAGCGATCCCTCCTTGGGTTGCCGAGGCAGTATCACTACAGAAGTAGATTGCCCAACCTTCCTTCCAAGGAGTGGCTGGTGGGTTTGAACTGCCAGCCTTCTGGTTAGCAGTCAAGTGCCTTAGGCACTATGCTACCAGAGCTCCCTTTATAGATATAGAATGTCAAATATGAAACATCCAGAGCAAGGATGTAGTAGTCAATTATGATGATTAATGATTCGTATCAATTGTCAAGGCTTACTGTGATTGACATTGAACTAAAAGGGAGTATATATGCATGTTGTTGTTGTTGTTATTTGCCGTCGAGTCGGCCCCGACTCATAGCGACCCCTCCTTGGGTTTCCGAGGCAGTATCACTACGGAAGTAGGATTGCCCAACCTTCCTTCCGAGGAGTGGCTGGTGGGTTTGAACCGCCAGCCTTCTGTGAGTACATACATTTTAACTATATTTCAACTGAGGGTTTCTAATTGTAAAAAGTTGAGATGTAAAATACACACACATATAAATATATATGAATACCTTTTGCAGTTGAGACTGGAGGCAACAAAATCTGTTGAAATAAAGTGCTCCATAGAGGTTGATCTGGGTTTGCATCTTACATCTATCATTTACCAGTGGAGTGGTCTTAGGCAAATCACATAACTTCTTTGAGCCTGTGCTTTGAAATGGAAGTAACACTTAACTCGTAGGCTGCTGTAGAAATTTGAGATCACATAAAAATAAGGTTCTTGGCATATAATAGGTGATCAATAAATGTAAACTACCTATTAATATTTCTATCTATTATTACCTGCTTCAATTATAGCACATATTAATTTAGTATTGCAATTTTTTCTCTCCCACAAGACTGTCAACTCCTCCAAGGCAGAGACCCTCTCCTACTTCTCTTTGAACCTCAACACTTAGTACAGAGTAAGCACTGAATATATGTTTGAAAAAAAAAAGAGGGATACACTTTCACTGGTTGCATAGAGGTTGGCTTTGATTTGTAAGACTGAATGGATAAAACCTTCTCAACTACATTGACGTATCTATATTGAGATACATTGCTAATGGGAAGGGGATATAGTATTTCTGATTTGTACAGCCTAATGTAGCTGATCTGGTACGTTTCTTGAGTGTCAGTGTGTTTCTAGGTTGACAGTGTCATCTACATTTGACCTATGAATAAAACACACATATTAATGAATATAGATATGAGTTTGGTTCTGAATGCAGGGAGACTAAATACTTCTATTTTTAATGAATATTCTACCCTAATGATTTAAAAGGAGAAGGCAAAACAACAGTCATTTTATAAAAATAAGGAACAAATGAATTGTATAATAAAAATTAATAATAAATCTTAAGAGCCATAAGAAATATAGAAAAAATTTAGCTAATCCATATTAGCCAGTATTCATTGAGTCCTAAAGGAGGTTTTACTCTAAAAGAAAATGTATCATCAGGTAGTTTTTAAAACTGGAAGTAAATGTATTTCAGTGCCTGATACCCATTTCATGTGGTCACTGCTCCATTATTGGCAGGTGATCTGGATCAGGAGACCATGAGCTAGGGTAGAATTAGAACACATGTCCTAATAATTTATAAGAAATTATTTTTAACTCTGCTACTTTCCATGTGTCATACTTCTGTTGATTCATGACACAAATAATTTTTTCCCCCATTGTTCTATAAAAGTTTAAAGTGCATATGACAGTAAACTGGGCTTCTCAGACCTCATAAGGAAAATATCTTTTAAAAGATCGTGTGCTTCATACCTATTCCCGTGCATGACATCATAGTCTTCCTCACACATAATGTCATATTGTTTCTTCTTCTGACAGAATATACCATAAAGGACACCATAACATATTCTTATTCTGTTAACTAAATTCAAATTAAACCAAGCAATTTACAAATACATACACTTGACATACTTAGAGCCAATACTTATATTTGCTTTTTTTTTTTTTTTTTCTTCTCCCATTTGTGGAGCCCAATGTTTTAGGCTGAAGCCCTGGCTGTACAATGGTTAAGCACTTGGCTGCTAACCATATGGTCAGCAGTTCGAATCTACCAGTGGCTCCTTGGGAGAAAAGACCTGACGATTTCCTCCTGTAAAGTTTATAGCCTAGGAAGCTCTCCAGGGCGGTTCCACTCTGTCCTATAGGATCGCTATGGGTCAGAATCAACAGATTTGAGGGGCTAGGAGAGGACTGCAGCTAGATAATACTTTTATCTTTCTCGATCCTAGAGCCAGAAATATGACCCTAAGTAGGATTAGTGATGGTCAAAGAAGGGATGCACCACATTAAGATGCTTCTTGAAAAAATTAGGAAAGGAAGGTAATGAAGAAATTACAGTTCTTACTTGTGGTTTCCTTCAAATATACTTTAGTTTCTTTTCTACTTCAAATATCTCTATCTCCCTCATTAACACAGCTGATTCCTGTCCTTGCTCTAGGTATCATTATTATGGGATTGGCATCAAAGAGAGCAGTGCATATTACCACTCCGTATATTCTGGAAAGGGCCTGACAAGGTAGAGTTCCACCATCTTCAAGACAAGTTCTCTGCATTTCTTTAAATATGAATGATATCTAGTGAATAAATTTATTTATTAATTTGCCTATTGAAGTACTTTATTTTAATTGTCAGATTTTAATTTCAGCTGTGCATGAACATTTGCAATTCTATGGTCATGATTAATGGACAGTTTAGATGATTTGCAATTATCTATGAGAAATTTATGATGGACTAGGTGTCCCAGAGATATGCAAAGGGGAAATCAGGGAGGCAGACTTGCTTTTAAATTCGCATTTACTCATAAGTTGGAGTCCATTCAGACTAGATTCAATAAAGTAAAAGGAAAAATGTAAATGTCTTTTTTTCTAAGAGAAAATCAGTTTTAAATATCTGTATACTTGACCAAAACTATACAAAGATTAAAAATTCACGATAACCATTTCTAATCACATGTGCTTTGACTATCAGTTTACCTTAGTAAGACAAAACTACTGACTTGCCTGGGTCTCTATGAAAGGAAAAGCACAAATGAGTGTAAAGAACACATTGCTGTAAGTTGCTTTCATATATTTGGAAGAAGTTATTGACAAGTATATGTATTTAAGTATCAGAGATCTGAATAACTAAATCTGTATCTGAGAATGTTTTATTGTATGATTTACCAAGAACTGATTTTAGCTCTCAAAAGAAGTAATTTTTAAAAAATCACCTTTCTTGTGGGGAAAGATAATGTCATCTGAACTATACTAAGATGAGCTCAGATATTACAAGGCAACATAGAACCCACTACTGCAAAGGATAAACATAGACTGGATATTTGAGATGCCGGATTAACCGGACAGGCTCAGATGAACAGTGAAGCCCAGCAGAGGTGTATCTAAGATATGGCAAGTAGGGCATGTGTCCTGGGCACCCCTTGAAGGAAGGTGCCACTGAACAGTTTCTATCAACCATCACAGTTTCCATCACCAGCTGTGAGAGATCAGTCAGCAAATTAAAGCTACTGCTTTCATATCTGAGAGCCTCCATGGGTGAAGGCAGACTGTGCAATCTTGCTCTGCTGAGTGTAGAAAGAGAAGAAACTGATCAAAATGACTTGAGCACGTCACAGACCAGTTTTCATCAGTGAAAGCTAGGAAATCGTGGATGTAATTTTCCGGTAGTGCCATAATGTGTTAAGTAAAAGATTAATGAGTTTGACTCGGATTTTTGAACTGATATTACAGTAAAGTTATCGAAAAGCTGGGTGTCCAATATTTGGACAGGGCACAATTTCCGTGCTTGCCACAGGTGCTATTTTCCGTCAATGTGCCTCTAGAGCCCAGGTCTGCTGCTTCCTGAGCTGAGACTTTGGCTACTTCACCCTGTTATGATCCATGAGCTCATCAGGAAAGGGCAGAGTGAAGGCTGCCTTGTATGAAGGGTGTGCTAATACATGGAGTATTATATGTGAATGTTTCTGAACCCTACAGAGGAAAAAAAGCAACCTAAAGTCTAGGTGTTGATGTTACCATTTTAAATAAAATCCTGATGTATTCAAAGTAAGGTTAAGAATTCAATATGTAATAGTATGCCATGAAAAAACTGTTACAGTTAAAAAAAATGTTATGAATATGGCTCTATCATGACCATATTATCATATTATTTTTACAAGTTTCCGAACATTACTATTATTTATTAATCTAAACAAAATTTATTTTTGGAATATCTTATACAGGTGTTTAATACCAAGCATTCTTTGCTTGCCTCAAATCTTACTTAACTTCCTTAAATATCCCTCATTTTACTTTTTGCTAAAGAACTTATTTTTGAGTAATTTGAGAAAGATGCTTGGTTCCCTTTGAAAAACCAAATGTATTTATCCAGACTTATTTCACTAATCATGGTATGCAGTTACTACTTTTTTAACTATATATATATTTTTTTTCTTTAAACTAATGGAAAATGTACTGGTTTTTAAGGTTTTCTGGAAGCAAGCTGAAGAATGAGGTAAGAATTATTTCCATGTCTATTTTACATTTGCTAAAATATGTCTTACAAGCTGAACAATCACTTTTAATCATCCTCTCTGAAAAACTTAGAAATGAATGTTATTTACTAGGAAGGAGCTCTAGTGGTGCTGGTTAAAAGCCCTTGACTGCTTTTAATTCAGCTCTTTGAACTCACTAGCCACTCCCTGGGAGAAAGAAGTGGCAGTCTGCTTTCATAAAGATTTATAGCCTTGGAAACTCTATGGAGCAGTTCTACTCTGTTCTGTAGGGTTGCTATGAGTTGGAATCAGCTCTAAAGCAGTGTTTCTTTTCTTTTCTTTTCTTTTTTTTTTTTGGTTTACTAGAAGTATCTTGAATGAGTGAGAACTTCAGATACAGCCAAGTTAGCTTTGGTGGCAAATAATGTTTCTTTAAATGGACCTACTGCACAATTTCTGATTGGTCCACCACTGCCATTGAGTCAGTCTGACTCATAGCGACCGCCACTGGGTTTCCAAGGCTATAAATATTTATGGAAATAGATAGCCTCATTTTCTTCCCATGGAGTAGCTTCTGTGTAGCAGCCAAATGCCTTATCTATTATACCACCAGAGCTCCTTTCTGATTAGTTGAGGAGGGATACTTTATCCTTACCTAATATTAAATACTTGCTGCTGTTGTTGTTAGGTGCTGTTGAGTCAGTTCCAACCCGTAGGAACCTTAGGTAGGATAGTGAAATACTACTGCCCGGTCCTGTGCCATCCTCCCAGTCATTGCTATGTTTGAACCTACTGTTGCAGCCACTGTGTCAATCCATCTCATTGAGGGTCAGCCCCATTTTTTGCTGACCTTCTACTTTACCAAGCATGATGTCCGTCTACAGGGACTGGTTTCTCTGACAACATGACCAAAGAATGTAAGATGAAACCTGATCATTCTCGCTTCTAAGGAACATTCTATCTGTACTTCCTTCAAGACTGTTTGTTCTTCTGAGAGTCCATGCAGTAGTCAGTATTCTTTGCCAATACCATAATTCAAATGCATCAATTCTTCCTCAGTCTTCCTTATTCATTGTCCAGTTTCTGCATGCAAATGAAGTGATTGAAAATACCATGGCTTGAGTCTGGCACATCTTCATCCTGAATGTGTTATCTTTGCTTTTTTTTTTTTTAGCTCTTTAAAGAGGTCTTTTGCAGCAAATCTGATCAATGCACTGTCATTTGATATCTTGACTGCTGCTTCCATGGGCATTTGTTGTGGATCCAAGTAAAATGAAATTCTTGACCTTTTCTTTTTTTTTTTTATCATGATGTTACTTACTGATTCAGTTGTGAGTTTGTTTTCTCTCTGTTGAGGTATCAGGCTGAAAGCTGTAGTCTTTGATCTTCATGAGTAAAATGCTTCTACTCCTCTTCACTTTCAGCAGGGAAATCTATATCCTTTGCATATCGCAAGTTGTTAATGAGTCTTCCTCCAATTCTGATGCCATATTCTTCTTCATGTAGTCCAGTTTCTCAAAATATTACCTCAGCATACAGACTGAATAAGTATGGTGAAATGATACAATCGTAATGCTTACCTTTTCTGATTTTACACTATGTGGTATCCTCTTGGTCTGTTTGGACAACTGCCTCTTGGTCTAATATTAAATTTTATATAAACTCACTGCTGTTGAGTCGATTCTGACTCATTGCAACCCCCCCCCC